CATGCCGGTACCGGTACCGGGCCGGGCCGGTCCGGTACCGGGTCACGGGTCGGGCCACGGGCCGGGCCGCCCGTGGCCATGTCTATTGCCAGAAATCATTTAATGAAAAAAAAGAGGTTTGACCAAAATTTAGTTGCTATTCTTAAAAAATGGTAAATCTTTTTATATATATAGATTCGGTCCGTTTGGAAGTATACTGCAGTTAGCAGCCCAAGTAACCCTTTTTGGCCAAGCCCTAATTTTCCGAGAGCGAGTGAGAGAGACGCAATCTCGCTTCTTCTTCTCGTTCCAGAACACTGCAAATCGCCATCATCCTCTCCAAATTGTCCACCGACCACCACCCTTCACCCTCCTCTGGTTCGAACATCAGCCACCATCGCCGGCGTCCCCGCACCCCGTCGAAGAGAGATCTCAGCTTCCAGTCGCTCAATATCCAGCCCTTCGATCGCTTGAAATCACCTAGCCGACGCATTCCCCCAATCGCCGTCCGCGTGTGTGTCTGTGGGAAGAGAAACCGAGCAGCAGCGCTTTCCTCCCTCGCAACTCATCCCCGGCCATCTCCTCAGCCGAGAGGAGACCACGAGAAGCCGTTTTCACGCCGAGAAGCAGCGGTCCTTCCTCCCTCACGTTGGCAGTCCGTACGTCTGCCGAAGCGGAGAAATAGCAGCAAGACCTTGTCGGCCTCTTTTCTGCGAGCGACAGTCTTTGACTGGCGAGTTCCGCCGTCGTTGGTGGCAGCCGAGTTCTCGACCCGGCGACCTGGTTTTAGCAACAGTCCCTCGTTGGCCGGTCGTTTCATAGCACCTATCCGAGCAGCGGCAGGGCTAATTGGAGACTTCGTATTTTCTCAAATTCGAACGGTTTGTTGTCCTTGTTTCAGTCTTGTTGATTTCTTCGCATATGCTGATCCGTCTAAAGTTAGTGTTTATTGTTTCTCCTTTTGCGTTTGAATTTATAATTCTCATCAGAATAAACAGACACACCCATTCCCGAGATTAAAGTTATTTAATGTTAATCCTCACCGCACCTAGGGTTTCTGACTTTAGTGTTGAAACCAATGTGCTATCACTTTATAGTTAAACCAAATAATCACCGTGAGATTAAGGATAAAAAAAATAATCACAGTGAGATATTTGGCAAACTGAGCCTCAAAATGTCCCAAAATGTCCCAGTGATAAACTCTCTAGGTCCCATTTTTTAGATAGACGTTTTTGTAAATCTCCATTTGATTTTTGTTTCTTTTAATTATGTTGCAAATTTGCAATGCATGTTGAAGGTGGGTACCATATGAAATGTATTGCATGTTTGAGCTAAATACCACTTCAAAGTCAAACTGATAGAAGCAGAATGATGATTATCATTAATAACGTTAATCCTGGAGGTAAAATTCCATGACTGTTGCGGGCCCTTAGAGGATTTCTTATTGTATATCCATTGGATGGGATGAAGATAAGTAATACAATACAGCTTATCTTCAAATATGCATTTGATGGCTGCAAGGGCTTCGTATTTTTCCCCTGACTTTGTCTAGTGTCTACCATGCTTGCAGTGATGAAATGAAATTTTGTTCTATAATAGACATGGTTGACAAGGTTTTTTTTTCCCCCAACTTTGTTTTCACTGCAGACAGATGAGTTTAGCGGACTCCCCAGCACACTCGTCAAGTAGTGATGATTTCGCAGCTATTCTGGATGCTGAATTGGATACGTTATCTGATGTATCAGCTGATTCCAAAGAAGTTGGGGAAGAGGAACATAAATATGCTTTTGCTGATGAGGACAACTTTGATTTAGATCTTCAAAGGTACATGTAAGCTGATGACTCACTTATTTTGTCATTTTTTTTAGGAATTTAACTAAGATTTTGGTGAGTAAATTTGGTAATACTAAATCTTGACTGCCCTGTTTTTTGTTCTCGATGGCTCTTGGAGGTTGAATGCGTTCTGGTGTCTTTTCTAATTTATTTGCCCTTATAGTTTATGAGGTATAGTTTTGTAGTTGTAGGTTTTTGCTTTGTCCCAACTTGCTTCGCACTAACGTCATAAGATTTAGGGAACTACTGGATATCGTTCCATTTAAACATATAAATTCGGTTTGAAGCCAGTGTTGAATTTCTCAGTTTCATTTTTTTTGTTTTGGAAAGAAATGGAGATCTTCCGATTGTGAATTGATATGAGATGGAAATGTTGATTAAATTTGATCGGTATAATAATAGTAAAATAACGATCAGATCGTATCTTTAAGTCTTAATTTCCTCGAGAATTGCTTTCATTCTTCTCTACTGCATGTCTGTATCAAAAGTCCAGCACTCGAAAATGCACCAACCCCGTTTGTGCTGCTCTTGAGGGCTTTAAAGAATCTCATCTTACCATCTCCTGTAGATCAGTTAGTGCTACTATTTCTGGTAATAGTGTGCTTGTTTAGAATGTTTTTTTTCTGTATTGTAGAGTTAAAAGGCGCAAGATGGAGTTATCTGAGGATGTAATAAATCCACAGAGTTCCTCATCTCAAGCAGAGATGGCAGAAGTTTCAGGTGACATTCTCATGATTAGTTGAACTCCTGATTTTTCTTGTAATTATCTATGGCACCAAAAGTATCATATTTCAGCGTAACTGCTCTAAAAGTTGGAAATTACAAGCTCACAAATTCTATTAATGAACTGAAAATTGAAATACAAAAATATCTGGTGTTGGTTGGTCTGCTAGTGTGCTCTTTTCTCTTCTGAGATCACCTTTTATCCACATGCTATGAGAAAATTCCCTTTACACTTTCATCTTTAATAAAAAGTTTCTGCCGCTTTTATTCTTCTCAACTGGTTTACTGGTTTCACGTTCTAAACTTCTACTATGAATCAGCTGCATTTTTCCTCAATAATGTTTATCTCATTGATAGCAGTTTAAGTAACTTACTAAATTTTTACACTTTGTTGTGTTGTTTGCAGTGGATACACTTAACACTGAATTATTTGAATTGTGTCCTGGAGCCTGACATGGGTGTCATGGCATGGAATAATGGAAAAACTCTTTAAATTACTTGATTCTTTTGCTGTTCCCTTGTGCGTTACCCTTGTTCTTTCTTATTGCGTCTTTTCTTTTACCGCTTAAGACAGTTTATTCATTCATGTTCGTCGTAATTATTCAAAGAGCTCTTGTGTCGCATATTGTTATTTCACCGTGTTTTGAAAAAGGAAAATTTAACTTCTTTGAGTTGCATAATCGACCTTCCAACTTGAATATTGAACACCCTTATATATTTCCTTTGTTTGAAAATGTTCCTCGTGCAGGATCATCAAATGATAAGAATATGTGTCCTCATCCTGGTCATATTGGGGGAATGTGTGTGAGGTGTGGGCAGAAAGTTGATGATGTATCTGGTGTTGCATTTGGGTACATACACAAGGTTACATTCTTCAGCCGATTTCATTATGCGCAAAATTTTGCTAGTATGGTAAATAATGTCGAAGTTGCTGCTTAATATTGTTATGTTTTAATTTTTACAAGGGTAAACTTAATGAGGAATGATGACTACTTAATCAATGCCCTTTCATTTGATTGTGCTCTAAGTCTAATCTTTTGGGAGGGTAACATAATATTCCTTAAGCTAGGGTCTAGTATGGAGCAGTGATTAAAAAGGCGTGCGGCGAGCCGAGGAGACAAGACTCTTATTTGCCATGGCATGAGCTGTGGCGCTCGCCTTATTGAAGCGAGGCGAGCCATTAAATAAATCGAGATATATCATATATTCACCAATTATGACATAGTTATGTATGTAAAAAACATATAATAAGGCTACACATTAAAAATCCTACATCAAAATTAAATGAATCCAACATTAAAGAAAAAGGTAAGAAGATCATTCCAATTTATAGATTTTGTTGTTAAATGGGAAAAAAAAGGTATTTGAGGGCTGCCTGCAGCTACTACAAATGCTGAAAACATTTACATTTTTTTCTTCTAAAACATCTCTATATATTTTGGATAAATGTGGCAACATATTCTATTTTTTTTCTGGGTTTTCTAGATAAAAAGAAAAAAAAAAACAGAGGAAAAGAAAGGGCGGCTGGAAGCACCATCACTGGCGATAGCAGATCCGGCAGGATCCATCACCAAAAAACAAGTGAAAAGCCACACTATAAAAATCAAAATGAAAGGTGAAAAGCTTTACACAAAAAAAAAAAGAAAGAAAAAGGGAAAGACACGTATCTGTTTGTTGCCGGAATTCGGCTGCTTCAGTTGGGGGAGGAGAAAGACAAGTTAATTTAGGGTTTTGTTGGATCTAATATGTGTAAGTAAGAAATGGTATCTTAAGCCCATAAATCCTAGTTTGTCAAATTGTTGCTGCTCGCCTTTAGTCGCCAAGGCGAGCGCCTTTTGCAAGGTCGCCTCGCCACATGTGCCTGAGGCACCCAAAGGGCGCGCTTTCCTTTACGCCATGGCCACGCCTTTTTAATCACTGGTATTGAGTAACAAGACATCTGATAGGATGAAAAATGAAAATTTGTCCAACACATGTAATTTTTTTCTCACATATTTCCATTTGTGTAGCATCATTTGAGGTTTGAGATTTATAAGCAATTTATAAAAAATTGGATATCCAGCTTTCTTTTGCTGTCTTGCAGTTGAACTTGAATAAAATTATGTATTATTAAGGCATCTTGCATGCAGGATTTGAGGCTTTCCAACGATGAGATGGCCCGAGTACGAGGCAGAGACTTGAAGAACTTGCTAAGCAATAAAAAGCTCTATTTGGTTCTTGATTTGGATCATACTCTGCTCAATTCGGCCCGATTTTCTGATATTACTTTGGAGGAAGGATACTTAAATAGTCAAGGAGATACTTTTCCAGGTAATTCCTTGTCAGCTATGTTAATTGGTTGGGTCCAGGGGTTCCTTGATTTTGATCTGGAATTTCTTCAGTATGTTTACATTATTTTTTCCTTCTCATTTTTTGCCTCCTATGCTTCAATCATCTTTAATATTTACTGAATATGAAAGCCATGCAAGACTGAGTACCAACATCACTATCCCTAAGTTTGGGACAAATAAACCTTTGAGGATGGAGCTGGTTTCCCGTCCTGCCATACAAATTATTTAACAAGTAAATAAATAAAATAATTCAATAATGCTTCGTGGATGTGAGGAGATCTGGGTAACACATGAGATACTCACGGGACACTCTATGTAATTAGGTGAATTATGAAGTAGTTTTTTTAAGGTCGTCGTCCGACAGGACGTTTCTTGTGTATTGGAAAATGGGAGTCTAGATACCCATAGGATACTCACATGAGTAGTTTTTTGATCAATGCACTCTGATAATTTGAAAATGTGAATCTAGATACTTATAGTAATTGACTTTGTTAGATTACCTATTGAGCTTTTATACTTGTGTTTCCAATATTCTTTGGTTTTGTTCACCTGAATGGATATGTAATCAGATCCGTTGTTGTAACTTGTAAGTGAACCACAAGGCCTAATAGGGTCCTGGTTTCACTGTCACACCCAACCCAGTTGCCAATTATACCATTTAGCTGAGCATTAGTACAAATGACTTACAAATAAGCTGATTGGAGATATCATAGGAGACATGAAAATGATGGCTCTGGCTTTTGGTACCATGGAAATTCATATGCCTGTTTATTGTGTTGTGAGTGAACCAAGCCATTGGTGAACAATACATGACTCGATAATTTCGTTTAACAAGGCTTGTTAAAATAAATGACCAGACTTGAGCTTAATGATAATCGGTTAGTAAGCTCGCGACATTCTAGTTGAAGGGTTCTGCAAGCTCGTTAGAAAACTCATGTAATTTGAATTGATATTTTAATCACAGTTGTAACTGGGTTTGTGCTTGTGCTGCCTGCTTTGCTTCACTATATGATGCTTTTGTCCTTTGAAATATTTTTTCTGCATGTCATGCATCATATGATCAATTTTTATGTTCTTTATCCTTTGTTGTTCATGTAATAATCTATTTATGCATCATCATCTTCTGTAGTTCTTTATCATAACTTTGCTCTCCTTAAATGGAATTTAAGTGCTCCATGAAATTTTAATAATATTTTTGCTTGCAGTAAAAGATCTTTGACATATTAGTTCACTATATAATCCTAAATAGAATACAAGTGTTCCAGGAAGTACTGTGATTGTTTTAGCTTGAGACAACACATTTCCTTTTTTAAAGATAACTTACAAGCTTCCGTTGTATTTGACATTTACTGGGAACTGACGCTATTTCCTTTCCCCTTGAGATTTCTTCACCTTTCTTCATCGTAGACCAAATAAACTTTACGGCTTTGGACTTCATCGTAATTTCTTTGACTTGATTACAATTTATTGAAAAATTAGATGCCTTAAAGAGCAGCCTATTCAGATTTAACTGGATGCACATGATGACCAAGTTGAGGCCATTTGTGCACACATTCCTGAATGAAGCGAGTAATTTGTTTGAGATGTACATATACACAATGGGTGAGCGTCCATACGCTTTGGAAATGGCTAGGCTGCTCGACCCACGGAATATTTACTTTAATTCCAGAATAATCGCGCAAGGTGATTGCACACAGAGGTTTCAAAAGGGTCTTGACGTTGTTTTGGGGCAAGAAAGTGCAGTCATCATCCTTGATGATACAGAAGCGGTATTTCACTTAGTTCTGCCTCCAATAATGCAAAATTGATTCAATCTTAACTTATGCTCATTTATGATTCACCATTTCAAAATTTTTCTCTTAATTGTAATCATTTTAGAATAATGACATAAATTAAATATATACTTCCATAGAAAAAATCAATGGTAAACCAGCTTAACTATCCATATGTTTATGTTTTTCCTGTCCATGTGATAGTTTAATATTACTTATAAATTATGAATATGTTACATTGGAATATTTAAAGTTAGTAATCTTCATGACAAGATTTGTGAATAATATTACCTTTATTTTTTATTAGGTGTGGGCAAAGCACAAGGAGAATTTAATATTAATGGAGAGATATCACTTCTTCGCCTCAAGTTGCAAGCACTTTGGCTTCAACTGTAAATCGCTTTCTGAACTAAAAAGTGATGAAAGTGAAACTGAAGGAGCTCTTGCCACTATTCTTAAAATTCTTCAGCGGGTCCATGGTTTATTCTTTGACAAGGTATCATCTCGCCTCTGCTCTCAATATTAAAACCAGTGTTTTGAAACCCGGACCGGCACGGGATCCGGGCGACCCGGGGCAGGTAAGGGTTGGTTGTTCGGACCAGGTAGCAAGGGACCCAGTCAAACCCGGTATTGACCTGGTCGACCTGGGTACTGACCCGGCCATTAAATATTTTTTTTCCTTTTTATTTTTAAAAACAGAATTATGCATATATATAGGTGGTGAATATTTTTGACAGATTACAATTATGAAGATTGGGGTAAAAAAATTACATATAAATAATTTATTTTTATTATTTTATGTTTAGTTATAAGGTAAAAATAATATAAATATAATTTTAAATTTTATAAAATTAAGCAATTGGCCCTGTGACTCGGAGTCAAGCCCGGGTCAATCACGGTCCTAGTTTAAAAACTATGATTTAAAAAAATCCTAAAAAGGTTTTTTTTTTTTATTTTTTATTTTTTCACAGTCCGACTGTTGATATGTCTTTTGATTCAGGAATCCGAGGACGACCTAGAGGGTCGAGACGTGAGACAGGTATCTATGTGCAGTCACTGTGTATCTGGGTGAATAGCTATGTAGGATAAATAGAATTATGTCACATATCAGTTTGAAAGCCCCAACAGGCTGTCGATTTTATTTCAAGTAAACAATCCAAAGTTTTTGTTCACAAATTCAATTCTCGCTCATTTTACATCCATTTCTAATTGTCGTCATTCTATATGCCGTCTCAAAGATAAGGTTACCATTTTTTTTTTAATTTCCATGCTTATCATTCGTGTTTCTGTACATGTGGGCAGGTGCTAAAAACAGTTCGGAATGAAGTTTTAAGGGGATGTAAAGTGGTTTTTAGTCGTGTTTTCCCAACTAATTTCCCAGCCGAGCACCATTCTTTGTGGAAAATGGCCGAGCAACTAGGAGCCACATGCTCGATCGAGCTGGACCCATCTGTTACACACGTGGTCTCAGTGGATGCAGGAACAGATAAATCTCGTTGGGCAGTGAAGGAGAAGAAACATCTGGTTCACCCACGATGGATTGAGGCCTCCAACTACATGTGGCAAAAGCAGCCAGAAGAAAATTTCCCTGTTAGTCAAGCCAAGAACAGATGACCTGTTTGTGCTCTATATCCGATTCTAAAATCTGCTGCAAATTTAACCCTTTTTTGTCCTTAAAAAACGTGTTAGGCTAACATCACTGTTAAGTTCCTAGACTGATAGAGAACAGTCATCTTTGGAATGGTTAAACCTTGTACTTTCCTTCACTTCATAGGTCATCTTTGGAATGGTTAAACCTTGTACTTTCCTTCACTTCATATTAGTGGGCTTTGAGGAAGGTGGCTTGCGGAGGAGAACCTTCCTTTCGATCTCCAAGATTTTGTAACATTGATTGTTGATAAGTAGGGTGGGGAAGTCTTGTGTTTTTTGCCCTGATCTTTGAACTACATCACCTCGTCATATTTGTGGTGCGCTCATATTTTCAACGAAAAAAAAAAGAAAAGAAAGTTCAATTTTGATCGTTTGTTGCAGGTTGTGTTGAATGCCAAATTTAAAATGATCATGTTTGCTGCTGGTCGATATTTATAGATTAGAGGGTGTATTACTGGGATAAGCACTGGGTTTAGTTTTTAATAGAAAAGAAAACATCTCCAGTTATGTTTTGGGCATAAAATCCATGTTTATATGTTTACGCATTGCTTCTTAAGGAGGTTTCAAATATTAGTAGCACTCAAAATTTATAAAAATGGAAGAATTTTCGGTAGTAAGCTCTAGTTTCAGGGAAGGAAAGAGGTATAATTCTCGTGTTTTTTGTCGTGAGACAAAAAATTTTGCAATGCCTACTCTTCCCTTTTATCTGAAGGACTTTCTTGAAAGAACGATGGAGGCAGACTTACTAGGTGACTTGATTCGCCGTTGAAATTTTATAAATTATCTATGGACATAAATCTCATATTGTAGTCTACCACGGCGTTTGATGATAAAGTGTGTTATAGTGAAATAAATAAGAAACCTCGACTCGATCGTCAACAAGGGAGATGTCGTTCTTTATTGCCTATGGATATGAAGAAATGATCCACGTCGAGCTTGGCGCCCCGAATTATCGAGTAACAAATTTTGAAGAAGGTGCAAACTCGAAATCTTTAAGGGTCAACCTTGATCTGATAGAGGAGCAACTATCGCAAGCCGCGCTAACGCTCACATAAAATCTCGCGCCTACCAAGTCGAGGATTTGGTGTTAAAAAGGTTCACGAAGCCTGTGCCCAGACCACTCAAGCCGAAGTGGGAAGGACCCTACAAGATAAGCGAACTCCTCTCACATGGATCCTACCGAGTAGAACACTTGGATGGAACCTCGCATGCCTACCTATGGAATGCGACATTCCCCAAGAAGTATTATCAATATGACGACTAGGATGTTCGAAGTCGTAGTATGTAAAAAAGTTCTCTGATTTCTGTAAGTTTCGCCAATTTTCATATATAAAGTCAAGTGTTGTGATTCGCTAATCACATACCGAGCACGAAACAAGTACTCGGTTAGGCCAAACGTGCCACCATAATGAAACGAGCAGACACTTAACCCAATTTCACTGTCGGGTCTATATTAGCCGATGTTCCGCTATCTCAGGACTTATACCTTTGACGTCGTCTGCTGAGAAGGCAAAGATATCAACAAACTCCCGTAGCAGAAGTATCAAGGCCTGGGCCACGCCTTCTTCCATATGGCGACCTACAACCCATCTCTCCTTCAATCAATCCTACTTCCATCAGCTCATTATGTGAGCTTAGCCCCAACTCCTTCTTTTTGCCCTGGTGCGATGATTCTGAGGAATCGTGCTTTTCTGTCTTTTTCTGGGCCTTTGCTGCTTTCAATGTTACCTCGCAGCAGCGCCGAGCTTGCAGCTGATCTCCTGTAACTTCCTCAACTTCATCCCTGACAGGGAACTTCACCTTCATGCACCAAGTAGAAACGACTGTTTGAAAAGAATTTAAACTAAGTCGACCTAAAATGATATTATAGGCCGAGCTTGCATCGACCACGAGGAATCTGACCATCTTCACTCTTCTCACGGTGGCTCTTCCCAAAGCCACCGTTAAACTAACCTCTTCCATAGTCCGGACCTCGCTCCCACTGAAACCATACAGGCTTGCGTGTACCGGTTCCATCTTTATCTTCAGATCAATCTGCTGCAGACAACTCTAAAATATAATATCCGCCGAGCTTCATGTGTCAATAAGAACCCTTTGAACATCATAACTGGCCACCTAGGCTGTAATTACCAGGGCATCATTATGTGGGACAACGATTCCACGCACATCTTGTGCCCCAAAACTTAGGACGACCAAACTCTCCTACAGTTTAACCTCGACCACCTCGTCGACAACACTCTTTCCCCTATAAATGCTTTTGCGCTCTCGATGGGAGTCCCCATCAGTGGGCCCTCCTGGTATCATATAAATTATCCCTTTTTTCACCGGTCAATCCGGCTGGTCATTTGTTCTCTTCCACTTGTCTCCTGAGTCACGCCTTTCTGAGCGTTCTTCCTTACGCTCCCTATATCTTATAAAAAAATCTTCCAAATGTCCAGCTCGGGTAAGACACTCAATTTTGCCTTTTAGCTCTCGGCACAGGTTAGTGGAATAGCCGTAATCGCAGTGATACCGACAATATTTATCCCTTCCTGTCGAGAATTTTCATGGTGGGGGCAGAGGCATGGGTGGTGCCAGTAACTTAGTTTCCCCCCCTCGGCCCCATTACTTCAAAAATTTCTTGTTGCGGGGCGTTTAAAGGTTTGTAATGCTCGTACCTCGCCCCCCTGAATCGCTCATCGATTTTAGCCTCCTTCTGGGAAGCTCGTTGCTCAGTAGGCCGGGACTTTTCCTCTACCTGCTTCGTCTTTCCTTTATCACTCTGAAGAAAGTCCACGCCTTCTCCATATTAACATACTTGCTACACCTCTCCAAGAGCTCATCAAACGATCTAGTCGGTCGTTTCGCAAAGGAATCCCTAAACTTTCCTGCCCTTAGGCCCCGTGTTAGCCCCCGACCTTTATCTCCTCCAAGGCCCTAGGAGCCTCCATGCATTCCTTAGTATATCACGCCACGTATTGCCGCAAAGTCTCGCCATCCTTTTGCTGCATATTGATTAATGACATATACGTCTTTTCGTGCTTCTTTGTACTTGCAAACTGATTCACAAATAGCGTGTTGAACTGGGTGGTAACCGGTGGAACCAATCCTGTGGCGAGCCTTTCAAAGTGGTCAGAAAGGCCAGACAGCTGACTGCATCTCTATATCGGTGTAAGACTGCTATATTATTAAACGATCTCAGGTGCCGATCAGGATATGCTGACCCATCATAAGATAGGCTTATCTCTCTGAAGTTGCTCGACAGGTCTCCTCCCAGTAACTCCTCCGCAAAGGGATGTCCACGGGATACTGCTACCTTCTTTTTCTGTACCCGGGCCTACAGCTCGCGCATCTGCTCTGCCAGCCTTTCTAGAGTCAACTCCTCCTGCTGCGGTACCACCACAGGTCGAGATGTCGCTGACCTGTCGGCATCTTCGTCCCCCATCTCGCGTTGATGAGTCTGCTGCGTCTGATGAGGGTGTAAGGACAACTGTTGATGCACGGGCTGCCTAAGGGGCTCAACCCTTCGATCGACTTCCTGAGCTCGCCCTATCGCTTCATCTATTATTCTATCTAGCTCTCTCTTGTCATATTTATGGTCTGGTCTGTCGCTGGAGGATTCCCTGGTTTATCACTCCCTCCTGCCACGACTACGCGTGGCCACATGATCCAATTCCATCCCCCCGCCAGGCCGCTAGTAGCGATCTCTGTACTCTTATTACCCTTTTTTCCTTTGCGTTTGGGCCGTCAACTTTCACTGGGTTTTCAGCGTTGGTGTAAGGTCGCCTTAGGCGCATGTAGTGTCTCTTTTGGTGTGACCACGGACTGCGACCACCCCGGCGGCGGCCCTGCCCCAAACGCCCTCTGAACCCAAGCCTCATCCATCTCCTTCGTCAAATTCTTCTTTGGGTTCTCCGCCATGGTTTCTAAAAAGTGTATCTTTGTGAGTTTGCAGAGAACAAATAAGCCGCTTATTCCGAGTAGAAGTGGGATATGTCCCCACAAACGGCTCCAATTTGTTATTTAAAAAAATCCTCGAACCGCTCGATCGCTCCTCTCCGAACTGGATTAGTTCTTTTCGACCGTCGGTACATTAAAAAAACGTCGGGTGTGATCCCAACATGAACACTCCGACGCTCAAGTCAGTAGAGTTTTTGAGGTAAACAGTATAGTATTCGCTAATGTGTGTATGTATCTCTAAAATATAAAGAACTTGTCCTTTATATAGGCCCAAGAGTCCCCGCATGATAGAACTCTAGATCCGATAAATCCTTTTCTTACCCGCTTCCTTAAGCCGAACAATGAGTTTCACCCGGGCTCAATCTCTTTTAGATCCCACACCTTACTGCGTGGACACCAGCTCGACACTTCTGTCCACAATAGTCTGATCTCGCCTTGGTCCCGCTGAGCTACCTCTTAAAGGTTTGACCACACATGTTCCACGAGTCTTCTTGTGACAATAAGCTGATTCCCCTCACCGTGCCGAGCTGAGCTCACCCGTACCCCTTTCGTGGCTACTGTCAATGTTAGCTCGTCGAAGTTGGTATTCTGACCCAGTTATCCGGACTTATGGCCCTTGGCCGCATATTGAATACATTTCAGCAGGCGGGCCGAGCTCGCCCTGCTCCATACACACTATAGGTATGTCGAATTAAGGTTTAGCTCGGCATGTCAACTTGTATCACGAGTTTCCCACATGCATTCCAAATGCTATATCATTATATAATAGTTAATGCTTATATCAAATAATAACAATCCACACTAAATATAAAGTACATAAGTATAAATAATTCTAATGTAATTTTTTTTTCTTCAAGCTATTTATTCTAAAATAAATATTTTTTTTTTTTTTTTTTTTTTTTTTTTTTTTTTT